GATAAAGTAGTTTAATTGTTTAATCTTCTACCCCAACATCAATTTGAAGAACCCATATTGTCACTTCCTGGATGGGAGAACAAATGATGTGAAGAGAATACTCAGTTGACTACACATCTGTGTTTATATTATAGAACCTTGTAGAATGATATGTATTATTAGTAACAAGTTTATAGTATAGGAATATACTTTTGGTTACCACATTTAAAGGTTAACTATGTGATTTCCTTGTTTCATCTTCTAAACCGCCAATTGAAATAGGTTGGTAGACTAAAAACATTATACTCAGTATGCCATGACTATACTATGGGGGATCGTCTATAGTATTGATGTTGAAAGTGTATAGTCTATCCTACTATGGTACTTGAATAGTATAGACTGTTGGAGTCTTGGGTTAGTACATTACTCGTGGTTTTGTGTGTTAACATGTATAAATGTCAAACCTCCAGAAACTATACTATTGTAAAAGTACTATAGTATAGATGTTTGCATGTATAAATTTGTATAGATGTTAGTATATGCATGAATAGATGTAACCACATTGTTTATAGTTACGTGTTTATAGTATAGATCGTTGGAGCCTTGCGTTAGTAGAAAGGCTTACTTCAGCCTATTATAGTCCTTATGACTTTACTGATTCGACTTAATGGAGGGAAGTCCTTGTCTGACCCTGCGATGGCAGCTTATGAAACGTATTGAGCTTCCATTTATGTGTGAACCTCCTGGTATGTCCATTCCATTCTATTGGTTTATAGTATGGACTCTATAGTTCACACGATTGAACATGGCTGTATAACATTGTTTTTTCTTTTCGCAGTATTAGCATTTGTTGCAACGCTGCTCGGAATGAAACTTCATGCAACAAATAGTCTGAAGGGGGCAGACAATATTACAGCATCCGCTTATCCAAACCTCCTATATATGTTCACAATGTTGTATTGTGGCTATGATTTACAGACGCCCTCAATTTCATTCTAATTACCTACATGCGTTAATAAGTTCTTGCCATGATACAGAATGTGTTATTTCATGTAGCCTCTTGTTCGAAACTCTGTTTGTCAGATATTAAAAGTTGTATGTTATTTGCTATACTATCCCCCTTATAGTATAGTATTCTGTGTTCCAGTATGTTGTATAGTCGGTTTGGTTCACATGATAGTCGGTCTTTTTCATCATGCACTATGCTATCCAACGTATAGTATAGTATACTATAATCTACTCCTCTGTAATTTCATGTGTCCTCTTATCCGAACCTCATGCAACAAATAGTTTGAAGGAGGCAGACAATATTACAGCATCTGCTTATCCGAACCTCCTATATATGTTCACAATGTTGTATTGTGACTGTGATTTACAGACGCCCCCAATTTCATTCCAGTTACCCACATGCGTCAATAACTTCTTGCCATGATACAAAATGTGTTATTTCATGTAGCCTCTTGTCCGAAACTCCTTTTGTCAGATATTAAATTTCGTACATTATTTGTTATACTATCCCCCTATAGTATAATATTCTGTTTCCCAGTATGTTGTATAGTCGGTTCGGTTCACATGATAGTCGGTCCTTTTCATCATGCACTATGCTATCCACGTATAGTATAGTATACTATAATCTACTCCCTCTGTAGTTTCATGTGTCCTCTTATCCGAACCTCATGCAACAAATAGTCTGAAATAGTTTGAAGGGGGAAGACAATATTACAGCATCCGCTTATCCGAACCTCCTATATATGTTCACAAAGTTGTATTGTGGCTGTGATTTACAGACGCCCCTAATTTCATTCCAGTTACCCACATGCGTCAATAACTTCTTGCCATGATACAAAATGTGTTATTTCTTGTAGCCTCTTATCCAAAACTCCTTTTGTCAGATATTAAATGTTGTACATTATTTGCTATACTATCCCCCCTATAGTATAGTATTTTGTTTCTTAGTATGTTGTATAGTCGATTCGGTTCACATGATAGCCGGTCCTTTTCATCATGCACTATGCTATCCAACGTATAGTATACTATAATCATGTCCTATTGTAGTCTACTCCCTCTGTAATTTCATGTGTCCTCTTATCCGAACCTCCTTTTGTCAGATATTGTATGTTGGGCATTATTTGCTATACTATATATCCCCCTATAGTATAGTCATCTATGCACCATATATATATGCTTTTCAGTGCTCTTTGTTTGGTTAATGTGTTTACAGTTTGTTCACCATATTGTATTTTTCGTGCCATTTACAGTTAGACGAATCCCGTGTTGTTCAGATATTGTTTTATGTTTTTCAGTATGGTGTACCCTTAATAAAAGTATAGTCCACTTTGTGTCCTATCCCCTTCTTCTCCTAACACTAGTGTTATGGTTTTGATGATTTATTCCGCTCCACTCACCTCATAGTCACTCGTAAGCGAGTGAGAGTACAAAATCGTCCACAAGTGCGAGTAATTGTCAAATCAAACCTTTATGGCTATATTCTTCATTATGGATTTTCTTATGAATATTAAGCAAATTTCCCCTAAATCTATCCACATCATTAAAAAAATTAAGTCTATCAGGTGATTCTGTTTGCCACGTCATGTACGCTTCAGTCGACCAATGCTCTTTTCGTTAATTAATAGTCAATGCTCTTTTCGTTAATTCATCGATTTGTGCTAATATGTTTCTATCAATTTTTTTTCATTCATTTATGTATCAAGATCATGTATTAAGTTGGTATCAAAGAGGCATTGGCTGTGAAGAAGTAATACTTTCTCAGTGATCTGTACGAATTTGCTACAAGATAATTAGCATCATGATTTTCTATTTTAATTGCAGGACCTTGACGTGGAAGCTGGGTATGGCGGGGGATCGGAGCAGGAGTATGAGAAAGTAAGAATCTGAGTATCTTGCATGCGCCAAAAGTAAAAAGAGTCATTCAGAGAATAAATGTAATGAAGTGTTAACGCTCAACGCAGACAATCCTCATACGAGTGGATGATATTCATCACAAAGGAAGGGAAGCTATGGGGAAGGAGGAGGAGCTTCTGAAGATGAGTTCTTTAATGCGGACGCCATGGTCACTGGGCTCTAGAATGTCCATCAACTGATGGTGATCGAGGAAGGTCCAGGTATCTGCATGCAATGCGCTAATTGACACCGAGATAATAAAAGGTAGTAAAATAATAATTATTAAGAAAGTTGTGTGTACATGATGGATGTATATATTCATACATTTAAATAAATAAGGGGATGGATTTATAGATGGTAACACTAAATAAGACATAAATCTAGCAGAAGATGTTATGTGGATTCTATGTACAATGAAAAAAATGATTCAACACCATACTTTACAATTTTTAACATGATACTAGATGATAACACGCGCCCTGCACGGATGAACGAATTTTTTTTAAAAAATTATCTAATATCTTTAGATATTAAAAAGTCAAAATTAAAAAACAAATTATTATATATAATGAAAAGTTTTACTATTTGCAAATTTATATAATGCAAACTCGTTGACAAAAAAAAATATAATGCAAACTTATTGATTTTTTTGTATGAATAAGTTTGTATAATTAAATTGGTGCATTAAATTCTATTATATAAAAAAAACTATAAGAATAAGCAAAGAATTGTTTAAATTTATCATAAATTTAAGAAAAAAAACAAATCATAGGAATTATAATTAATTAATTCATAATAAAATTCTGATAATAATAATTATAGTTTTCAATGATGATGCTTTAGAAATGTTTTGTGATGGTGTATTCTCAAATTAGTCTAGGAAGATATATATAGTACTTTGGGGAAAGAGTTTAGGCAAAATAAAGAATTAATGGAGTTGAATAGTTATGGCCTAAAATCAAACAAAACAAATCACTAATTAAAATCAAGGTATTTAAAACTGAAATGAATACATATTACTTCTGAGTACTTACTGACAAATCATATCTATAATTTCTGAGTAATATTTTTTGCTTAAATAAAATAAATTAGTGCTTGAATAAAATCAATCAATTAGCTTAGCTATATGATATGATTTCGAACTATAATCTCTTAGTTGCTATCAAAAATACTACACAAGTTTCCCTTAACAAATAAATCAATAAGTATTAGGAAATCCCTTCTTCTTTTACTTTCTAAATATAAATTCCTGACATGGTTTTACTAAAATAAAAGATTCTAGACATAATCAACACTGGATTACCTAATGCTTAAATAAAATAAATCAATGATTGATCCAAACACATATTGCAAAAATAAAATCAATCAATGCTTGAATAAAATTAATATAGAAATTTATAAATTTTATTTTTGTTTTGTAATATTCAGTAGAGGTGTGTGGTCCCGGTGGCCAAAAATTCGGAATAAAATATACAATTTGATACATTTTATAATAAAATGTTTCTCAAAATACATTGTAAGCATTGTAAAAATATATACATTATATAATGGCCGATTTCAAAATTATAATCTTCGTTAAGAAAACAGTAGTAAAACGATTTCAAATTATAATTATCATTTGATTCATTATATAATATAATAAAAATCATTGTATATAATATAATAAAGACGGGTTTTAGTTGCCTTTATAAAATCAATCAATCATCAAATAGAATGTTGGCAAAAATAAAATTTGGTAACAAATAGGCTTAATTTAAGTGATTGGTTATTTATTTCCAAATATTTTTAAAATTAGATGATTAAGCACAAAATAAAAAGGCTTATATAAGAAATTATACAATAAATCATCATTGCCATCATGTCCTCATATTTAAATCATTCATAATAAAGACTACGTGATTCATTCGTCCCTTGTTTTAAAACACAAACTATAATTACGGAGGCAATTGATTGAAAATCAATTACATTGAATGAGAAATCAATTACATTGACTGAGAAACAATTTTGTATTGATAATGATCGGGAATAACGAATATAAGGAAACTAATTAAATCGATAATATTACCCCATAAACCAATTAAGATAAACAAATAAGGATAGTCCGAAAAGTTAGCTCTAGGATGTCGTCAACGTTTATACGAGGGGGCTTGACATCGATCCAAGCAACGCACCGGTACAATCATTTTTGCTAGATGCTCAAGGTTTTTGGTCGAGTCCACACGCCATCTCGGATCCATTTCCGGATGCTTTCCAATGCCTTGAGATGTCGAAGAAACTAAGGATATGTTCTTTTTTTAAACGCAGCCTGATTTTATAAATATTAGGTAGAGATCCATAGACGCCGTCCAAATCTCAAAATTTTGATAGAAATTATGTGTGGCGATGCAAATTTTGGAATTTTGTTGTATGTTAATTTCAGGACTAAGGCAGGTGAAGCAGCGATGGATCAGGAGGATAAGATGGTTGTGCCTCCAAGGAAGAAGCCTGAGGTAGAGAAGAAACAAAAACCGGAGCATGAACCTGAGTCGGAGATCAGAGAAGAAAAGGAGAGTAAAGAGATGAAGTAGAATGCTTTAAAGGAGATAAAGATGGGGAATGCGTCATACAAGGCCTTCGAAACACTATCAAGAATGACTCACAACCATAGAAGTTGATGATGAAGATATATCCTTAGTACAAATCGTGCTGCTGCTCATTGGAGATGACAAAGGTATAATCTTTATGTATTGTGTATAGTTTTTATGTATATTTCGAAACAAATCAATGTAAAACGATACAATAATGCAATAATACTGAATCAAATGGTTGTTGGAGGACAAAAAGGTGGATATCAGAAGCTTTGTAAGGAAAACACACAAAGGAGAGTTCCAAGTGGAAGTGGAGCCTATGGATAGTGGCTTAGTGGTGATTTCTGTTGGATTGAGTTTGCTTAACTGGATCTGTTTCCATACCTGTGGGAGAATGTCTATGCGAAGGTGCACTCCAGCTGATTGTCTCTTCTGTGATCTCTATCATCAGCATTCTGAAAAGGTTTGTAATCAATGGTTTCATTAGTGATAGCAAACCTAGCTCAGTACTTCGTTTCATCTACATTTCCAATTTTGGGTGTACATATTTGAAGCGTTTTCCTTGTGCTAACTGATCTAAGATGCTATACTACTACACGTTTTCTCAGCTGCATGAAAGATGTTATAAGCGTCTCATTCGCATTATAGGACATTTGATTTTATGTCAAAGTCTGTACACTCACTGATATCATATTTACTAATCTGATACTTTCCTTGGACAGTGGTGAAAAGACTACTACAAAAGAGTGGCATATGTTGCTTGAGATCACGGGTAGAGTCAGGATAGATGCATTTGAGAAGTTTATTCCAGAGCTCCCAAATTCTAGGAGTTGTGCCGTAATGGTATTGTTTTTCAGCTTGGAATTTTCACATTCATTGCTTGAAAGCTGTCTACTTGGCTCAAGTAATAGGACTTGCTTGTCCTACTTGATAAACTCTTTCCCAGTAGCTGTCATGTGCCTTATGTAAACCTTACTCCTGTATTACCGTTTATGTGTTTTGTCTGCAAAGAAGAATGTTCCAAGAAAGAACAAGAAACCATTTCTGAGGCTGCATTCGTGATGTGAGATGGTTTCATCAAACAAGGTGTGCTTTGACCGACTAAAAAAATGTAGTATGATTTTCAGAAGAAGTTAATATTTGTAGATAGTAATAATAGTGATATGAAAATTTAATATTCGGTCTGTGAAGGCTGCTAAGTTATGTTAACGATCATCATGTCTCGTCAATCAAAGAGTTTGTATTTTTGCATAACTGGTGTTGTAATGTTGAGATGCAACACTTTTTGTAGTATGTTGGGGTCAAAATCAGTACGATGGAATCAATGACCAAAACTTTCCGCAAAATAAAAAATACGTTTTATAAAACTCGAGAAGTTGTTTTATAAAATTCTAAGGACTTTCCGAACAAAGGAAATCCGCGGAAAACTTGGAAATCGTCATCTCGGAAGAACGAACGAAACAATCGCCGATTACACGATTGCCCAAGTTAAGAAAAAACCGCAAAAACCGCATCCGCCATAAACCGCGAGCAGGTTCGACCGAATCAGTCCAGCATACGACGAGCCGAACCAGACAGTTCAGCTCGCCATACGGCGAACTGGTCAGTCAGGAGCCAGCTCGCCGTACGGCGAGCTGAACCGTTCCCGGTTCAGATCGCCGCACGTCGAGCTGACTATCCCGAGCCTCGATCTCCCACATCCTCGACTCAAGGCAGACATCCTTCGGTCCGATCATGCTCTGAACCATGGTCGAAACGTCTTTCGTTTTGTCTCGATCCATCTCACCGTTTAAGTTTTACGATAAGAATCGTAAAACTCTTCTTTTTTCGTAAAGTTTGGGAAGATCGTATTAAACGACAATGATTAAACGGAAAATTGTACATTGTCAAACTATACGATCAACTCAAGAAATCTTATAAAAGCTGCATCGTACCAGGAAACGATCTCATCAAAAATCGTAAAACGATTTTTATTGCAAAACGGCTCGGACAGCTCAAAAGCGCGATAAAAACCCACTTGCAACTTTAAACGAAATCCAGCCAAATATACAATGACGGTTTTAGGATTTACTCGCAGAAGGAAGATAATTTCAAGTTTGAAGATAAATGTCAAGTTTGAATATAAATAGAAGGTTTCCGCACAGAAAAAGGAAAGATCGAGATAAATGGAAGATTCTTGATAAACTCGAATCTGGGAAAAAAGGAAGGACCAAAACGTCTAGGAAGGGAGTATATAAGCAAAAGACAGAGGACATAAGAAATGGACGAGTTTTCAGAGCTTTCCCCATCAGAAACTTAGCACTTAGGGTTTTTTCCGTTTTTGTTATCGAGCTGTGTCTCAACTAGGGTTTTGGTCTTAGACTGCTAGGGTTAGGGATCTCGCCGACGGCTCACATGGCTAAGGCTTACTCTGGTTGTACCATTCTTACGTAGATTCGGAATAAGACTCTTTTCGTTCTCAATCTCGTTATTTACATCTTTATTTCATACTTGTCGTGTTCTTGATTGTTCTTGTGCGGTTCCGCAGATAGCCGGGTCCTCTGGGAAGTTAGGGTTTACTCTAAATTCCCAAATTTATGTAATCTTAACAGTAGGTGAATTTCGGTTCCCAAAATTTGGCGCTAGAAGAGGGGGGGGGGTCGGATCTATCTTACACTCAAGCCGCAGCACGCTCAATCAAGAAACGATGACTGGTGACAACCAAACTCACGACGAAAGCGATAACGTTGACAAAACACCACCACCACAAGATGTGTCGACGGCCAACGCTACAAACGTTAATGCCGAGACCATCGAAGAGATGCTCTCCGAGTTTAACAAAAAATCGGAAGAGCAAGAAAAGCTCATTGGTTCACTCCAAAACAGTTCGAAACCCTAACTGCGAAAACCAGAGCGATTCACCCCCGCAGAACTACTAAGATCCGCGGAAGGAGGCTCGATTTCGCGACTCCTATGGATTGTCCCAGAACCGTGCAGGGTAACTTACCGGAGAAAGACTCTGAAAAGATAACCCTGACGCAACACTGAACGAATCAGACAAATCTCCTACTCGCAGACATGAGACCGAGGAAGACGGCGTCGAAACAGTTAACCTGGAAACGAGAGACCAAGCTGACTCTTCGGACGAGGACGCGGACGTCCATCCTAGGAGAAGGAAAACTCGCAGCCCTCTGCCGGAGTCTTCTCCCAAGCGTTCTCTTACTGGAGACGAGGAGGAGCTTTATTTTTTGCAACTCCCAAAAACATCCGAGGAACGGTCTCCAGTTACTCGCAGCAAACGCCGACGAGGTCGGAAAACTGCTGGCGGCTTAACTGAGATCCGCGATCTCCGCAAGTACATTAACAAAACGGCCACAACGGTAAAAGAGGTGAAATCTCAAATTCATTATGCAACCAGCACCGCACCTGAAATCGATCGGCTACTAAACGAATCTCGAAAAACGCTTTTTTACGGCCCGCATCACTGAGGTCAAGCTACCCGATCCAGGAACGCTCAAGGTGCCGACTTACGACGGGACAGCTGATTGCAAAGCGCATCTGCAGGCCTTGCTGATTACCATGGGACGAGCCAAGCTCAAGGATCACAAAAAGGACGCGGGCTACTGCCATCTTTTCGTCGAAAATCTAGAAGGAGCAGCGCTCGAGTGGTTCGCCAAACTTAGGCGAAACTCAATCGGGAGTTTTCGCCAGCTTGCTTCCGAATTCCTGAAGTAGTACTCGATGTTTATAAATCCGGAAACCTCTGACGCTGATCTCTGGAATTTATCGCATAAGGAAGACGAATCCCTTCGCGACATTATGAGCAGATTCAAACTCGTCATGGCTAGGGTTAGCGGAATAAGCGACAAAGCCTCCATCGACGCGCTCAGAAAAATAGCTCTGGTTCAAGTCGAATAACTCTCGAAAAACCGCGAACGATCCAGCACGCGCTCCACAAAGCTACCGATTACATAACCATCAAAGAGGAGACTAAAATCCTGTCTGAAAAGCATAAGCCGGTGAAAGCATCCGCAAAGCACATCGTATCCGAGCAGAAGCTGAAAAGGAAAAACTCCCGTAACGACAAATTCGTCCATCACGAGGGGCAGGATCTCCAAGGGGCGCACAACTACGCCATTAACTCCGGATCGGAACAAGGGCGAACTACGGGGAACACGTGGTCAAGGAATATGAATTACGACGAGAATTCCTTCTGCGATCTCCATCAAACCCATGGGCATTCTACCGTGAACTGCAAAATTCTCGGCACCAGACTTGCCGCAAAATTGATCGCAGGAGAACTCTCTGAGATATCCAGCGTCAAGGATCTTATCCGCGATTCAGATTGCCCTCCGAAAAATGACAGGAACTCGCCAGCGGAAACTCCGCCTCAAGGGAACCAGTCGGGGAAAAACACGGATGAAGGCAAGATGAGAAAGGTAATGATGCTAACCGCCGAAAGATCAATATGATCATCGGCGAATCGCAGTATAACAGTGACACCATCTCGTCTATCAAGTCCTACCAACAAAAAGCTGAAACCGGCTCGAGTTGGAAGGTGCCATCGGATAACACCCCAAAGGGGGTGATCTCTTTCGACGACGCAGAAACCGTCGGAATCAATCAACCACACGCCGATCCTCTCGTCATTGACTTAATCATAAGCGACCTAGAAGTCGCTCGAATCCTGGTCGATACTGGAAGCACCATTAATGTAATCTTCCGCAACACGTTGGCACGCATGGAAATCGATTTATCGGAGGTCGAGCCGATACCAAAGCCGTTGACTAGTTTCTTTGGCGAAACATCTATGACTCTAGGATAAATCCGACTACCAGTCGCAGCCAAAGAAGTGACGAAAATCGTCAACTTCACAGTCGTCGATTCCCCAGCCATCTACAACGTGATCATGGGCACGCCTTGGATAAACTCCATGTAAGCGGTAATGTCGAAATATCACTTAGGCATCAAGTTTCCGACCCCTACTGGAGTCGCAGCAATTTGGGGATGCCAGAGACAAT